TTTTGAAAGCATTCTTATTTTACAGCATTTTTTCACACCTGCCTAAAACTTTTGCACAGTATTGTATGAATACTTGCATCATGCAGTCTGGTGTCTATGACTGCTTTTGGGAATATGTGTTTGTGTAGGGAGGGAGGGAGGGAGGAGAAATGTCCAATGAATGGTCTGTTTATAGCTAAGTGGACAAAGCATTGCTGTCTGGAACTTGTAGCATGGATTTGAGACCAAGGAACTCCTTTATCCTTGTCATGAGTTTTGCCAGGCATGCAAAAATGTAAGTGGGAGCATGGGCATTTTCCTCCATGGTGAAGCTCAGATTGTATTGTTCATGATTACCAGTATGATGCGTGTTGTTCAGTCTTCTTCAGATGAAAGATCTGGCTCCAGGAATTTACCTTCCATGTTTTAAGATACCACTTCTAAATTTCCTTTAAAGATGTTTACTATAAAAATACTAATGAAAAATGTCATAGAAACTACAACTGGGGGGAAAATAGCTTTTAAAAAAAAATCTGAATCATATTTTACCTATAGTGTTGAGATCAACATGAAGTTCCTCTGAAAGAATTCCACCCAAGAAATTTTCAGCATGGACTGAGATGGAAAATGTTTGGTTTTTCTGTAGTTGATTCACAGGAATGATAACTGAGGTACTATTTGAGGCAAATGCTTTATTCTCTTCTGTGAATAAACTACAAAGATCAAAGAGTTTAAATAAAAAAGTAACTATTTAAATATTTGAATGTATAACTATAATAAAACCTGCAAATATTGTTCTAGTAATGTCATTGTTATTAATGGTCAGCAAGTTTATAATAAAGCTTTGTTTCCTTCCACATATTAACCATAACCCAACCACAGGTAACTTCTTTTAAGTTCTATTGCTTTCAAAGAAAGACTCAGCCAGGCTTTGTAATACAACATGGTCATATAAAATGTCAGCCCTGCAAAATTTATCAATTCCAAAGCAAAATTATTCCTCAAACAGAGGGAACAATCTGTAATGAAACAATAGCAGAGAGATACTTAATTCATATCCTGCCAGATAGTTTCTTCATGAATTTCCTTTCTTCAGCCACTAAGGATTTTTTTTTTCTCCTGAAGTGCATGGAACTTAAAACAATAGTTCATTTCTCCCCCTAAAATTCAAAGTAGAATTATAAATGTGGAGAGGGGCCAATGACCTATTTTAGGGAGCTGACTATCCAAATTAGGATTGTTTACTTTTTCTCCTTCGAGCTGAAATCATTCTGCACAGCTTATATTAAAGCACTGCTATATAGCACTGCTATATAGCACTGCTATATAGCACTGTTTCTACCTGCCAATCCCTCACAAACCAATTGGAAGACTTGATATTTTTCTTACTTCTGTTAACCTTGACATGCAAAGAATAGTCAAAGAATACAATGAACCAGCCTATGTTTTCACTCCAAATGACCAATAGGAGATTGCAAAAATATCCTGACTCTTAAACTTCTATGAAACAACTCCCTTACGCTCTGCTCCATGAAAATAGATATTGTTCATGCCTTCATCCAAATTTGGAGTACATAAAGTGTACATTTGTCTGGTTGTTTGCAAAATCTCCACTTTGAAGCGATGGAAAAAATAGGATTCTTGTTCATTTCACCTCCGTATATCTGGGTTACTATGCATGAAAGAATAATTGGAAGGAGCTGTAAACAATCAGATCAGCCTGAACTGGGAGCTGCCTTTTAAGGTGGATTCTGCCAGGCAACGTGCATTTGTCTGGGCATAGTTCAGAAAGATCCAAGTTGTTGCTCTGAGGGGGAACTTCAAGCCATCATGCCACCTTTCCTCTTTGAGGGCTTGTGAACAGGATGCAATGTCAGTTGGCAGCCAGGGAAGCTGGCTGAAGAAAGAGTTCCCACCAATGAAAAAACAGACTTCTCAGAAGCTCTACTGACTTTCAGTACTGCCAATAGAAAACTTGCCCCTTCCCTCCAACGTAGCTGCCCAACACTCAAGGGTATGATGATATGAGGCATAGAGGCTTGGAGCTGCTACTGAGAAGGTGAAGGAAAAAAAAAAGGCTGGATGGAAAACTGCCTTTGAATGGTAAAAGAGTTAATACTATAAAATTGAAAAAATATTGCTCAAGCAGCTTTACAGTTTCTACTATATAGAGAGCTCTCCAATTTGAAAGTTACATGATTGCCTCCAAAAATAGCCGTAGGAAGAACATCTTGAGGTACAGTTTGCTGCTGGGAAATGGGAACATCTGACATGCATGATGACCTCTTTCATGTACAGCCAGCATCATCACCAGAAATCTTACTGAAGAGAAAGAGGGCTGCCAATCCATGGAATAGCCACCTCCTTTCTGACATCATTTCCTGTTTGTGTATCCTTTCTAGGTAAGCAAGTACTGAGTATAAAAGGCCAGCTCCTTCCATCTCTCCTATTCTCACCATATTTCTTAATCCATAAGAAGACAGTGGAAATCCCATTCAACATACAATATCCTTTATTTTGGCTTCCTTTTTATGCTTTACTTAATTAATTAAAAAAAATTAAAAATACCCCAAAACCTCAACAGATCTTAGATTACATCTTTTTCAACAACAAAAAAGTATTTCAGATTCATTGGATTCATTTATATATAAATGGTTATGTTGTTGGAGATACAATGAAATGAATGCTTCATTTAAACATATGTTTCTATAATGTTCATCAGTTGTTCCATTTGGGAAAGAGTTATTTCCTATATTAATTCAATTCTGAGATTCAATATTTTCAAAATTCATATTCTTTTGAACTTTATTCCTATCACATGGACAAATAAAGTGAATTATCAGTACCCTATTTACAGCTAGAAGACTTATTGTTCAGCATTAGAAAGATAAACACATGGTCCCAGCTACCCAGTGTACTATGGAATTGATGTTACCAGCAATGTATGAACCAATAATTTCTCCATATAGATTAGTACGGATGATTATAATGAATGATGGCTTCCATGCATTGAAATGTTTATTTTACAACTTTTATGCATGTGTGTGTGTCTGTGAATATATAATTTTTTTAGTTTTTTCCCCTTTCTTTATAATTTTGGGTATTCTTTTTTGTATTCAGTGAATAAAAGCAGAAAAAAAAGTCAACTTACACAATATCCACGCCCAGTCAAGTTATTTTGGCATCTGAGAGAGAAAATCCCACAGTGTTGTTGCCTTTTCAAGACACCCCAAATCAGGTGTCTGCAGTGACTATCTTATTCTGCCCACTAGTGGGATTAGGCCTGTGGTTGGAGATCCACAAAGGACAACTTGCCCAAGAGCTCCTAAAACCTGGAACAAGTCTCATGGCCATGGCACACAGCAACTACCCCAGTTACCCCATCCAGTGGCCACATTGCAGCCGCGATGGGAACTCTAGTCAGATACACATGAAGACCACTGATTGGAAGAGGCTGTTGCTATATACTGTCTTGTTCTCAGGAAATGAGACACTCGTAAACTTGGAGGTGCTGCATCTCATGACCGCTGCCAGAGTTGCATAAAAGTGCTTATGTATATTAAGTGAAAGGCATTTCTTCTGGTGTGATCTTAAACTAGAATAAGGAGAGGCTTTGTGACCTCCTTTTTCAGAAAATGTAACTGGGTCACATTTTTCTTTTTCACTCGTCAAAAGTATGGCATTCGTATGTTTGAGCTTGGTTTGTGGTTCCGTGCAGTCAAACCACAGCACAGTTACTGTTCGGTCATATCTTAATGTTTGGTTGAATTTGTAGCTAACCTAATTTTAGGGAGAAACTTGACATGACAGGCAAATGCATATCACAAAGTCCCAGCCATGCTGTTGGTTGAGTTCTGTTTGCTTGTTTTAATAAAAACTGGACTCTGGTGGCTGCAGTTTTCAGCAGAGGAGTGACAGTATGCTTAAATGATATCCCTGCGATTGATTTTTCCCCTAAAATTCCATCTCCGTGCACTCTTCTCAAGGATTCTGGGTACACATTTATGCTGTACTTATGTTTATAGCAGGAAACCAGCTGGCCGGGGGTTTATAGTAAAATGGCTGGTGGTTAAGCAACTCCCTTCCCTCCCATTGCTCTGCTGGTCAGAATGATAGCCTATGGAGATGTTGGAGTTTATGCTTAGACACCTCTCTTCCACAATTTAATACTTCTCTTTCCTGCTCCATCCAACCAAGCTTTTGTAACAGCACCCCATCAGCTATGAACAGCTGAAAGCTACCTCCATTTAAAGAGGCAGTAGAATTCTTAAGACTCAATGCTGGAGGCTTCAGAGGAACTTTTTCATGTTTTTGCAAGCTACGCAGCAGCCTTTCACGAACTGCTCTTGGAAACAAAATCCTGAGCTGGGATCCTCCCAAACATATTTTGAAAAAAGGATAATTACAGTAAATGCCCTTGGATTTGTCTCTGTAAAGTTACTTTCTGGTTCTCAAGTCACAATACTGGCTCACTATGCTGGGCACCTAATTAACAGAAACATGGGAGGTCCAAAAGAGATTGCAGAAGCTCAAAACCTAGATTGCAATAAATGAGAAATGAACTAATGAAATCTGTTTATTGCTGCTGCTTCCTCTACCAGATATTGATGTTAATTTCCAGAGGATCCCTGGATAATATCTACTGAACTCCAAAAATCCTTTCAAACCTGTCTCAATAAATCATCCAGAAATGAGTGAAAAGAATTGATAAACGAAACCACACACTTTGAACATACCCCAACTATTTATTTTTTAATTAGATTTGCATTCTAAACTGTGTTCAGAATGATTATTATTAGTATTCTATCTATATATCTATATCTATATCTATATATGTACATATAGATATATAGCACCCTTTTATCCAAAGAACACTCAGACAGCTGATAATTGAAAATAAAAACATTTAAGATCTGATAAGAACTTTAACAATCACTAGTAACTAATTCAAAATAAAAAGACATGACTGAAGCGAAAGATCTTGACTCATCCTTAAAAAAAGAAAGAAGGGGGTCTGAGCACATTTTTGGTATTATTCTATTCTTTGTTGTTTTTATGATTGATCAAGGGTCTGCTTTAAAAGTAAAAAGTTTTAAATTACATTTTAAAAAGAAATTAAAAGTGGCCAAAAACTTGGAATTTGCCAAATCTTGCAGGCTCTCTGTTTCTTGCCTGAGATCTCATCAGATCTCAAGCAAGAACACATGAGCTCTAGTGAGATTTCAGCCATTTTATTTTTATTTTTGGGCACCCCCAATGTTGTGCAAAATTGTGTGATTATCCCAACCTCCTCTAAAGGTTGCTTATACCTAATATAAAACTTCTGGCATGAGATAAAAGCTTCAAACACTTTTCTTACCTTTTCACATACAGAATGTACCTAGTGGTTAAATATGTTTCTCTTCCTGGGTTCCAAATGCAGGCCACATTATCTGATCGCTCAGGTTTAATACAGGTTAAATTGGCTGGTTTGTCAGGCAGATCTACAAATTACAGAGTTTGTAAGATTATGCTGATTTAAACACATACCCGCAAAAATATGTAATCATGGCTGCCTGTTGAATAAACATTTCCTTGCTGTTTCCTTTAGCTTTTAAAATTAACCTTTTCCCTAAGAAGACATGCTTATGAACATATTTGCTGCAATTTGAATAAGATTCACTTAGAGGCTTGCAATTTTCATCTGTAAATATAGCTGACACTCTAAATGATTTTACAATGCTTCGTATTTGTCACAAAATCCTTTCTCGTCTGGCAATTCATTGTCCTAAAAACAATATTTAGTTGCTTTGGGGCTAATATCTTTGTTTATTTAGTTTCTGAAATTTTATCAATACTGGTCTCTTCAGCAAATGCTAAAAACCATTTACTAATTACTGGTTTCCAGCATCGAGTGTCACCCAACTATCATTCTGACAATATAAAGCACGTCCCCATTATTATAACACTGGCATAATGGTAGTTGATGATGCAATAAGATGCTATAAATCATCCACGAGGAAATGGCCATAAGCTCAGTCTTTTTTTCATCTTTCAGTCAGCTTCTTCATTAACTTGTGGGTTTTTTTGGGGGGGGGTTTAAAATAAAAACTGAGAATTCTCTTTCTAGCTCTTAACTATCTTTAATCAGTGACCAGGATTTTCCACTACTTCTCCAATGGTTATATATAGAACGAAAGTACATCTATATGACTTATGTGATCAACCACAATCAATGTGAAATTGCTGTTAGTAACATTTGTATCTCTGATATAATTAGTACAATGGGCTAAAATTATTGTTGGCAATGGTGGTTTATCATTTCTTTAGAAATAAGCCTGGAAACCTTAGCATGTTTCCTGGGAGCACGTCCTACTACACACAACATAAGTTGTTTGGAACAGGCATCTGTGTACATCTTAATGACATTGGTGACATTTACTTCAAAGTAAGTGTGATTAAGAGTGCCACATGTGCATATTTACTCAGAATTAAGTCCCATTCATTTTGCTTTACATGGCTTGCTCCCTTAGTTTAGAAAATGCTTACACTGCAGTCCAAGCCACAAGCTCTCCTGAAAACAGATATGCATCAAGTAAGACCTCAAAAACTTACCTATTAATCAGTGACTATCTCAAATTAATTGAGATGTTCTACAAGGGCACAGCTCATGCTGCATAGCCATGATACTTACATCCCATACAAAACTGTGTTCCGCATATCAGTGGGCCTTTGAAACTTTTGACATAGCATGCAACTCTGGAAAAGGGCTTGTTATAATCATGAAGATTGAGCTGAACTGTACTTTGGTTTATAACTGACAAGAGTGTGTCCTCAACATCAATGCCATTTAAGAGCATAGATAGTTTCCTATTTTGACAGCTTTTTTCCCTGCAATGACAATTGATAGAAAAACTTTGGCCCATTTGAATGACTGGGGCCGGTTCTGTCCATACGTGCCCCAAACACTTTATAGAACCTGAAAAGAAAAAGAACAGGAAGAGGAGGGAGGATTACTATGAATACCTTAGCAATTCTTTACTTTAGAGACAAATTCTCCCATGTTTTGGGCATCATAATCTTTCAATAGTATTTATCTAATCCCAGAGACATTCTAGGAATTAAAATGATGCTGGAGGTTGGCACTTTGCTTGACAAAAGGCTGGTTCCTTTTTAAATAAACACACACACACACACACACACAATATAACGAGTGAGATGGAGCAGGAAACCCAGTGACCATGAAGGGAATATTTTGTGTGTACAGTGTATCCTGGGGACCAAGCTGGGTATCCAAGTGTAGCAGAAGCTAGTTAGTAATAGTACTGATTGGCTGGGATGAGGAACATGGGAGGTATGGTCATACCCAGGGCAGGCAATAATGTCATGTGCAGCATAATATCATAGTGCCCATGTTATACTGCACATCATTTGCATGCTATGACTGATGCAAATTGCATACTTCGTGTTTTTTGCACAATTATGTCTTGATGTGTGTGACATCACTATGGGTTCTTCCACAGCCTGTGATGGAAGATACATTATATTGAATCAAATCATTGGCTTATCTAGCCCAGAATTATCAATATTCATTGGCAGTGGTTTTCCAGGATTTCAGCCATTTCTAAAGATGTTAGAGATTGACTTCCTGCTGCAAAGCATAAACTTTACTACTAAACTATGGTTTTTCTTACGACAGTCCCAGATTTATTTCCATACTCTTCCCTAAAGCAGTGCTAAGTTTAAATTTAATAACAAACTTCTTGTTTTTGAATATTGAATAAGCATTTCCTTATGTAAAAACTTCCTTAAAAAAAAAAAAAAGAGCCAAAGGGAAAGGCAAAAATCTATGCCAGTTCTGAAGACAGATGTATGGTTTGTCAGTAGAGTACCAAAGGGTTCATTCCAAAAGAGGAAGAAAGAAATCATACTGTTTCCTTTAGACAGATATATGTATGCATATGTACCCATAACAACTCCAATTAACCTTTGTAATGGGTCATACTGATTTGGATTGATGGAATTGGATAGGCAAACAAGTTCTCACAGAATTTTTATTTTCTCTTAATCGAGGCATGTGAGAATAAGAGAATATGTAAGAATAAGATGCCTTGATATTTCTAAATTGGTGCCTCTTGACATTTAGCCAAGAAGACATAATGTTTCTGAAAAATTAAATCCCTGTCCACTTGAGCTCATATGATTGTCAAATTAAAGCTAGTTCCAAAATGAAAGATGGCTGCAATCAAGAATTCTTGCTGGCTGTATTGAATCTTCAGCTCAGTCACATCCCCTTGATATTATAATTTATTCTTTGTGTAGCACAAGGGTATACCTCCAACATATCCTTATCCATCTACTGTTTTGCTACAGAACCCAATCAAATGCACCATTATTTAAAAGTTAAATGTACTGAATGTTCATATTTATTTACATTTGCTTTGGTGTTGATTTCATTTACTTGTAAGGTAAATCCTCTTGTACTTGTCTGCAAGCCACATGATATTCAGGAGTATAAATGGAGTGTTGGGACTCCCTATTAACCCTACACCCCCTCACCCCCTCACATACAACCTGATTACAGTGTTCAGTTTCTCCCAATTTTTATGGGATATAATACTTACCTTGCCCTCTAGCTAAGCAGTGATGAGAAAGAAGGCTTTGGAGGGTCTTGCAGAAAAGCAAGTATAAAACCAACAATACTTTAGATATTGCCATGATGTGGAAGGTGTTGAACCTCTGTCAAAAGGCATGGTCTAAAAGAAAAAACAACAACATGATTTTCTCTACCAATATTTCTTAAAAAACATCTAACCTAATGCTACCAAAATGTTAAATGGGGAATATGAAACAATTGGAAAGGCAAATTTGGCTTTGGAAACAAATTTCTCTATTCATTTTTAACCTATTTTACGTCCCATAGTTTTCCTTAACAAACTCAGCGCCACTGTTGGTTAACTACTATGATATTTTTGAACAACTTTTAAATACAATAAATATTGTTCATTCAAGCATAATCTTATTCTGCTTGTCAGTGGCTATAGAAAGATATTACTATTTTAGGATAAGCTGACATTTTTATTTGAAGATAAATATCAAAGATGCTTTTTGATTAGGAGTTTCTAGGCAAGACAATTATTGTGCAATTCCCCAGCTTCATTTACAGATTTTACAAAGATGTTAACATC